GATCAGCTGGCTTTGCTTAAATTTTAGAATGACGGGTGGAAGGGGAATCATTTGAACATGACAGCTGGGAGGAGGAGAGGGGGACTCTATTTTTAGCACATTGATAGTGGGGTTATTCTGGAACTTTTCTGGTCTTCAAACTTTTTCTACTCACAGAGCTACAAGAACATGGGTGGCCAACTTTTTCGGGAAGAGTACCACAATTTGATAAAAAATAATTATGAGTGCTGATGAAAAAATCACTGGATTATAAAATTGATGTACCGTAAAATCCGGCGTATAAAGCGCCCTTTTAACACCAAAAGTTGTATTAAATTTTACGGGTGCGCGTTACACTCCTGGTACAAAAATGACCGCTTTAAAAATAAAAAAATACATTAGCATAAAGGAAATTAGACTTCTACATATATAGAAGTACTGTTTATTTTAAAGACACAAATTATTTTATATATTTATATAAGTATACTATTTTTTCAAAAGCCTGGGACAGTACTTCGAATAAATGAATTAGAAACATAAGAGCATTGCATACGTGCATTTCAGGCTTCTTCGTAAAAAAGTGAGTGTGCGTTATATGTCTAATATACATGAAAATTAAAAAATGCAGCTTGAAAGTATAGGAGTGCGTTATACGGAGGTGCGCGGTATATGTTGGATTTTATGGTAAATCTAAGAACTAAACTGACTATGGAACAGATATAAAATGCTTGTAAGAAAATATTTTATAATATAAAAATTATAAAAAATTCCTTTGTACAATCGTATATATATATATGCACAATCGGCCTTCGATTTACCGAACTCCTATTTAACGAATTTCTTGATTTAACTAATTTTACTTTTTTCCCAGATTAAGGCAAAAAAAATTACTTCTTTTTAACGAATAAAAAGTCCCAATTAACGCATTATTTCAAAAGCAGAAAAAAGATTTTTTTTTCTTAGTTTGAATCTGAAAAATATCATTTTTTAAATTAAATGATATTATTTTTGTCCTTAACAGAAAAATAATTTCCTTGCAGGCAGCAAATTTCGACGGTAAAGAGTGCATTCCAGCTTTAGGCTTTGCAGGTGTAGATGAGTTCATAAGTGACACGAGTTTGGAAAATGATAAGAAATTCCATTCTGAAACTCCTATCAAAACTGTTACAGTTTCTAATGTTTTTCATTGTTTGGAAACTGTGAAAACATACCTCATGCAGCATGATGTAAATGACGCAGTATGTTCTTTTTAGTAAGAAGTCGGAAAAGAACTCTTTCGAATCAGGAATGAAAAAGTCTGTCAAATCTCTATATATTAGATAGTACTTTAAAATTTTCCTATTAACTTCCAATACTTTTCCAATAATCCAATTTTTTCAATAATTTTCTAACAGCATTTTTATCTTCAGAATAAAAAGTGTGTAAAATTGAACCATGGATATCTTTTGAGTAGTTGTTTATTGTAGAATTTCCAAATGTCTGAGTGAGTGAGTGAATATTAACGTCACACTGTTCAACTACTCCAGGGCTTTTGGAGACACACCTTTAATTTGAACCATGATCAAGTGACGAGGATGACATCTGAGCTGGCACCCCTCTCCTAACTACCACACCACACCAACTGGAGGACATTTGAGCTTTTGAAAGATTTAACGTGTATCGCTCCAGTACACGGCGGGTCTTCAGCGGTACTAGGCTCGAACTCATGACACGAAGGCCATAAGTCCTTTACCTTGATCTAGATAAGTGCAAAAAGGGGGGGATTCCCCGTTATTACGAATAACCCAGAATTAACCAATAAAATATTTAGTTCTGATGAATTCGCTAAATAGGGATTGGACTGTATGTTTATATGTGCGTGTATACACACACAAATATATATCTATCTAAATATATGCATATATATATATACACGTATTACATGCATATCAGTGGCGCACACAAGCGGGGTGTCCTATAGGGGTCCGGACACACACCGTACATCACTTGCTTTTTGAAGTTATACTTCTTTTGGGTCTTGATTGATTGACTGAATATTAACGTCGCACTGTTAAGCTATACAAGGGCTTTTGGCGACGGACCACGTAATTTTGAACCATGGTCAAGTGACGTGGACGACACCTGAGCTGGCACCCCCTCTCCTAACTACCACACCACACCAACGAGAGGACGTTTCAGCTCTCGACAGATTTAACGTGCATCGCTGCCCTACACGGCGGGTCTTTAGTGGTACTGGATTCGAACTCGTGACAAGGCAAGCCACGATCCGATACCTATACCACTCGGCTACAGCGGCCACACTACTTTTGGGGCATTAGAGAAATAGGGTGAGGGTGAATTTTTAGGATGCGCACAAGCACACCGTCACGGATGCGAAATGTTTTGTCTAGAAATATACAGAACGTTACAGATCATTGCCGCCTTCGAAATTTCAAAAAAAAAATATTTCTCTTCACTTCCCTGAAGAAGGGAGCTTCCGGTTTGAAACGAGGACCTCTCAATCTGCAGTCGAATGCTCTACCACTGAGCTATACCCCGTGTCAGCGAACCTCTGGTTTCAGTAGGAACGGATACAAAAATACTTTGTCTAGAACTGGGGTGTCCAACACGCGGGCCACATGTGGCCCGCAAGTACGTAAGCTGCGGCCCGCCACTCTTTTTGAAAGTTTTTTAAATATCAGGTTTTTTAATTTTGAAATTTATTTAAGGGAATATATATATATATATATATATATAAATCTATAATATATTTGCCTGTTAACTGTTCTTGTTTTAAGATAAATCCTTTGTGATAATAGAAACGTTCTGTAGATTAAAATAGATTTATATTTTATGAAACAGTTAAGTTTAAATTTAATATAATAAATTACTTTTTTAATAAATTCCGAATTGCATTATGCTGTCCTTTACTGTGGATGTTACATGACTCTCTGTGTGTGCGCAGGGACGGCTCTAGGGCCGGACCCCTGTACGGAGCGGCAACTTCGAAGGGCTGCATTTGGATCGAATTTAAAAATACTATTTTTGTTACAAAAAAAATTGATATATTTTCTGAAATATTATTGGGTGTGAATTTGGTATTTCATTTAACTTATCTTACTTCCTTATTTTGTACTCTGTATGTTTAATGTCAGTTTTCTTCCATGCTGAAACTTAAGAATTTGAGTCCGGAATACATGTTCAATCATGAAATTTGATAAGTTTACACATTTTTCATTACTAACTTTCTCCCCATCCTTTATTTTAGTCTTGAGTGTAATTACTATAAGTTGCAATTAATGTCTGTGATCCCCACCATGAGTGGACTCCTTTTAGAAGAAATTAGCATGCTGAAATGGACGATTCCTTTTGTTGCATTTTACTCGTTTGAAATAACAGGTAATTATATCCTTAATTTGGAATCATTTTGACTTAAAATTATATATATATATATATATAATATTGGTATGCTGCCCTTTTGTTCTCAAGAATGACTCCAGTTTATTTTCGGTGTGTATCTGTGTGAACAATTTATCATTTTTAACTATAGTTGTTTGCTTTGGTGAGTGGGGCGACATTTTCCATTTTTGTCCGGGGCGGCAAAACTGCTAGAGCCGACCCTGCTTTAGGTTATTCTTGCATGAAAAAAAAAGTTATTTCCACACTCTTCTTATTAACCTTAAAGCTTCTCATAAAGTACGCGGAATATGTTTTTTGCACTTCTTTTGGAAATTTAAGTGCACCTCTTGTACGAAATATTGAAGCTCTCGAGCTTGTTTATGAAACTTAGTGAACACTGCTAGAAATCACTGTAACAAAGTGTTCTTCAAACTGTGGGCCACGGAAACCTGAGCTCCATCAAATATTCTCCGGGGTTCTATGAGTCAACGTAAAAAATAAAAAGAAAAAAATAATAATAAAAATTATAAATATGTGAGCAAAATGAATTCATGTTCTCTTTGAAGTTTGTATGTGATCACAAGTATCTAAATCTCACCTTAGTCATCAAGAAACTGAAATATTTATTTATACATAGTAACTTTACATTTAGCCAAATACTTTTTAAACTGTTATTTTCATAAATTAAAACAATACTGAAACGTTTTTCTTGATAGGAACTACCAAATAGATTTTGAATATTCTATTTTGTTCACTATCCTAGCTTCCAAGGAATGATTTTATACTCATCTCGAAAAACTAAAGTTTAAAGTGGAAAATGCATCTTTTACCATTTGTACAACCCCCCATAACGAAGAAGTAGGATTAACTTATCAAAATGTCAACAGATTGGATGCTAAAATCCAAATTTAAGCAAGAGCAGCTACTAAATTTTAGGTTGTAAAATCATGCAAAATTCCCACCGCTATAAACATATTAATGCCATTTAGAACAATGTATTTTATAAGTATAAAATATTTCTCCACGTGAGTGGCTGCAAGAACAAAATATTAAAATAAATTAAACACAAAATACGAAAAGTCACTGCACATAACTAGTTAATAAGTACGATGCATAGGAAAGTGACGCTATATAAGATCACTAATTAATATTATTAATGAGTAAATTATATTAAAATTTGATAACAATTTTAATAATAAATATTTTTTAAAAATGTCTTTACATAAAGAACTTATAGCATATTTTGTGTGATATACTTTAAATATTATTTTAAGATATATTCTTTTAAGTGTGCGGAATGGAGCTAAGCGAAAACTCATACTTGGGAAAGTTCTACGAGTCGAAGAAGCTTGAAAACCACTTCCTTAAGGTAAGTCTTCTCTTGGTGGCACTTTTACTAATAAATTGAACTTTTGCATCTTTAGAATTATTTGTAATATTTTCATAAATTTTCATTAAGTATTTTCAATAATTTTAATGAAAAATAATTTATGATACAGAATTACTAAACAGAAATCAATCAAATATTCTAACAAAGGGAGGGCACGATTAAGAAAATTCATTTGGGATCGAGACTTGGTGTAATAGTAGTACTCCTTTAGGTTGTTAACCTCTCAATGTAATTCTGCCGAATGGCCAGTAAATTTGGAGAAATTAGCCTTTGAAATTCATGCTTAGCTTTTATGCAATTAAATTTTAATGTCCCGCAACGAGTTCGTAGCCTGATCGGTAAATCATCTGCTTACTAAGCGCGAGGTCAGGGTTCGATTCCACGCGCGATCAACTTTAATTCATCTAATTATTTTTTAAATTAAATAAATTTATTTATGAAAGGTTTATTAAATATTAAATGATATTTTATGTAATTATTTTGTATTTTTTAAAGTAAGAAAAAATAAATAAATTTATATAACTTAAATTATTTATTACAAAAATTATTTAAAATTAATATTAATTAAAAATAGTTAAAATTATTATTAATTTAAATACATTTAAAATTATTATTAATTAAAAATATTAATATGTAAAATTAGTAAATTAATTATTATTTATTAAAAGTAATTAATTACAAGTTTATTATAATTAATTACTATTTATATATTTTAATTATTATTTATATGATTAATTAATTACTATTTAAGTAATTAATTAATTTTTATTATAATTAGTTAATATTTATTACAATTAATTAATTATTAAGCATTAGTATTAATAAGAAATATTATTTATTTATTATTAAAAATATTATTAATTTATTATTAAAATTTTTGTTTATTGTTAAAATTATGTTTATTATTGAAATTATTATGAATTTATTATTAAAATTATTTAAATAAAGTTATTAAAATTATTTAAATAAACTTTTTGAAGTTAAATAAATTTATTTGCAAAGAACTTATTAAATATTTTATAAAATTATAAAATAATTAAATTAATAATATATAAAAAAGACATATTATTTATTATATAAATTATAAAATAACTAATTTAATAATAATATAATCTATTTTATAAATTATTTTATATAACATTTTATTTATAGTATATTGTATTTTACATTATAAAACTATTTGTAACTAATTTTTATGTAAAATATCATTTCATATTTATTATATATTTTATTATAAATATTATTTATTAATATAAAATATATTTATAAAATTTAATATAATTTTTATATATAATTACAGTAACTTTTTTACTTTATAAAATGCAAAATAATTACATAAAATATCATTTAATATTTAATAAACCTTTCATAAATAAATTTATTTAATTTAAAATAATTAAATGAATTGAAAAAAAGTTGATAGCGTGGAATCGAACCCTGACCTCGCGCATAGTAAGCAGACGATTTACCAAACAAGATACGAACTCGTTGCGGGAAATTAAAATTTAATTGTATAAAAGCTAAGCATGAATTTCGAGGGCTAATTTCTCCGAATTGACTGGCCATTCGGCAGAATTACATTGAGGAGTGAACACCCTAAAGGAGTACTACTATTACACCAAATCTCGATCCTAAATGAATTTCCTTAGTCGTGCCCTCTCCTTGTAAGTAAAAGGTACATACAAGTAATTTCTTTCACTAAATAATTATAAAGGAAAAACAAAAGAAGAAATAATTTCTTAAAAGGGATAATTATTTTTCAAAATTATTCATTGAGGCAAAAGATAGAAGAGCCGCAGCCTTTTATGCCAACCACGGTTTGTCGAATACTGCTCGAAATGAAAGTAATTTTCAATGAAGAGAGAAAAACTACATCACACTTAAATTGCATGAATTTATAAGTATAAGTGGTATCAATAAGAATATTACAAACTTCGCTATACAGAACACTTATGAATTTCTTTTAGAGTCGGAAATACTTGAACGTATGGTAATTAGTTATTTTCGTTCTTAATGAATTATTCTCATGCTCTTCATATTTTTCTCCACCTTCCCATCCATTCCTCAACAATCCCGAACATTTTCTAATAGCAGAAGAAAAATAAAAACACGCTTCGAAAAAGCAGAAGAAGAAAAATAAAAACACGCTTCGAAAAAGTAGAAAAAGAAGTCAAACGTGAATGAGAATCGTTTCCTTCGCGAATAGTCGATAAACAAGTTCTTCAAAAGACTGTTTAACCTCTTCGAGCCTGCTCTGCAAGTCCCCCCCCCCTTCCTGCCGACCACCGACCGAAGGTCATTTCCACCAAACGATATGACGCAGAACTCTGCCGTTTCCCCACTCCTACCCCCTCTCGCTCGCATCCGATGACTGGCCATCGATTCTCTCTTTTCCTCCATCAACCGATGATGACTGGACAGTCAGATGCCAATAGCTCTGTGCCTCAATCACTCGTGCAGAGAAAAGTAGGAAGTAGTGTACTGGTGCACTTTACTAAGAATATTTCCCTCCGGGAATCAAGAACTATCCCTCATACTTGGGAGCATTTCCACTAAAACACATTTCTCGTTATTTTTCAATATATTGCTATCTCCCCTTCAAACTTAGGATCTTATTCTAGTTATTTGCGTTCTTATGAATTATTCTCATGTTATTTCATTGGCGTTGGACCCTTTTCAGGTCGTATCATAGACCTGGGGTCTTATAGACCACTTTGGGAATCACTACAATAGAGGAGTTTAACCTTTTTTCTAATTATCATAGCTTCT